TTAAATATATTTATATATAATATAAAATATAAATGTATATACATGTAAATATTTTCAATATATATACTGTATGTCTGTATTTTTATATATGCATAATAAATGTACACAGTACACATACATACAGTATATTATGTCAACAAAAACTTAGTTTGGATGCGATTAATCATTTGACAGCACTAGTTTTAACTTGTATGTCACTGAGAATAAAATGAAGAAAACAAGCTGTCTTGCAAAGATATTCTGTCAACTAAAACCATGTGATTTTAGTTTAAATCCGAGAGATTTTTATTTGTCCCATATCTGTCCTCTGAATGTCCTGTCTGCTTTCCCGCAGTGCCTGTTGATGTTACTGGACAGTCCTTTGAACAGAGCTGGACTGCTTCAAGTGTACCTTCACACAGAGAAGAATGTTTTGATCGAGATAAACCCACAGACAAGAATTCCTCGCACTTTTGCACGATTTTGTGGACTAATGGGTAAATTCACTCCATTTGCGCATTTACTGTAATCAACAGTCAATTTTGACAGTTTTGTAATGCAAACATTTGTAAGTTTATCTTACTACTATTTGCCCTCCTATAGTCCAGCTGCTGCACAAGTTGAGTGTGAGAGCAGCAGATGGTCCTCAGCGTTTGTTAAGGCTGATTAAAAATCCAGTGTCAGACCACCTGCCACCTGGTTGCCCCCGATATTCGACATCGTTCAAAGCAGGAGATGCTGTTTGTCCCAGAACAGTTGTCCCTAAAGATGGACCTGCCGCTGTTGTCATTGGAGCGTTTGCACATGGAACAGTGAGTCTGTTTCTCCTCACAGCTAAATGAAGTATATTCTCCATGCATAGATAATAATTGCATAAATGTGAATCGTGTCATTGCTTTTTAAGTAAATCACTGATCTGTTTCTCCATCCTCTCGTAGGTGAATGTCGACTACACCGAGAAGACAGTGTCTATCAGTAACTATCCTCTGTCTGCAGCTCTGACCTGTGCCAAGATGTGTTCAGCGTTTGAAGAGGTTTGGGGAGTGTTATGACAAAACCAAACTGTTATGAACTGTCAGAAACAGACCTTTGGACTGTGTTGTGTGTATGTATACAGTCCATTCCTTGGAGCAAAAATTGTGTTATATGACGGCACAACAGAGGAGAATATTTCATGAATTATAACAGTTTTAACTCGCACTGACGCAAACCGTTATACCCTTTAAAGTGTGGGGTATTACACTTCAGTTTCATTTTGTTTAAGTTTATACATTTAATAATAAACCCAGATTTGCATATATGAAACAACACTTTGCCTTTTTTCTCCTTACAGTAAACAATAGCGTGCAACAGCGGGCCACTTTTTCAGCAGCCTTGGTTTCTGGAAGTCTATTCAAAATGTCCATGTTAAAGGAGTATAAGCCATAAATAAAATCAATCAGTGATACGGTGAATCAGAACATTACATTACTATTAGGCAAAAAAAAAAGGGGAAATCAGACAAAAAGATAAAGGTACAGGACTGTACTTAATGGCTTTGAGGGGATAAAAAAACTAGAATCCCATTAAGCATTCTGAATGACAATAAAAATGGAGAAATATAAATTCAAAGTTGTTGATATGAATAACAACGGTGTTTAGGATAGATAGATTTTGAGAGCATAGTGAGACAATTATGTTATTCACTGTGCTTCGTGGGAGTGAAAAATTGCAAATTGTGGCTCTGATTGATAGAGATTTTTTGTGTGTGTGAAATCATGGGCAGTGTAATTTTTCAACAGGAATTCTGCTGTTAAACTCAGTTCTTTAAAAATGAAATTGAAATGATGTAAACTGATGGCTTCGGGAAAAGCACGTGCCACTGATTAACAACCCCACGTTCACATCAGGTCTGTCTTTGAAGGTTTGTAAGTTATCATTAAAAATCAATTCCCTTATAGAGAATATGAAATAATTTTTAACTTCTAGACCGGGACCTGACTTTTGCACTCACCTGGTTTTATTGAGCATTATTCTGAAATATTATTTTGAAGTTCTCTTTTAAATGTCTCTTCACTTTTTGAAATGTTCTGGTTTATCGCAATTGTCTTATGGTTGTACTGTAGCTTTAATCTTGTATTCTCTCCACTATATTCACTATAAATTTAGACGGCTTCAAAACAGTCTCTCCTCCTGTGTTTGGGCTCTAGACCCTTTAGCTTCCTTGACCATCAAATGTGCTTTTAGATGTTTTTTTTTTTCTGTCTAGGCTTGATGTTGGTTCCCTCTGCTGGATTTGTTTTCTTTCCTGTTTTTCCTTGTTCTTTCACCACATTGACACCTTTCCTACAGGTCTCAGGCTCTATTGGTTCTTGCGGAGTTAATTTCCTGCTGTAGGTTTTGGCAAGTTGGGATGCATTTGTAATTTTTCAATTATTTGGGACATTTCCTGTCTAATATCTTTCAGAGATGCAATCAGGTAAGGGAGAAAAAAGGTGAGAACATTGCGCGGACTGGAGGCATGCTCCACATGGCATTTCTTTTAAAGATATTTGCTTTCCATGCTTATTTGTAGTCACTTTAAGGTATTGTGTTATATATTTTTATTACCTTATATGTCCAAAACTGTATTTTTTCCACAAAAAAATAACATGTTGCAACATTTTACAAAAATCAAGATTGAATATATTTGGTCAAAATCCATGTTATAAAAGATTAAGTGCTATGCTGGCTATTTAAGACAATATTGGCTGATTAGACTGCAGTGCCTACAAAAAATGCAAAAATGTTTGCCCTCTCTCTCTTCACCTTTCCCATATCTCAGACCTCAAATACATAGAATATACATAGTTTTTGAAGTAAGATTAAGAGTACCCCCCCCCAAATCTCACAGGTGACCTATTTTGGTATATTGGTGAGCTGCGAGCAGCTGCTGGCGTTCATCGTCTCCTCAGAGGAGTTCTCCAGAAGCGTGGCTCCCGCGTCAGTCTCAGTCTCATCCATTTCATCCGCTGATTCGCCGCTCATTTCTGGATCCTCGCAATCTTTAGATTCGTCTAGCACAGATTTCTCCGTGTCTACGGGATCCAGGTAGTGACAAACTGCGCTCTTCCTGCCGAACGATTCTTCCTCGTGGAGAGTCAGCACCTCTATTCGGTTAGAGACGGGCTCGTCCTCCTTCCTCTCCGACAGGAACGTCCGCTGAAGCATTAGCTTCTTCATTGTGTGACATTTGTATTTAAGAGCTGAACTAGAACCTGCGCCGTCCTCTTCAAAAATCACACAGGTTCCGATGGCATCCTCGTATTCCCCGGCGAACAGATAGCGGCCCACCTGCATCATGGGCTGCTCGCTGTCAATGTCCACGATTTTACACGCGCCCTGCCGACTGGAGATTAAATCCGAGTTGATCATCCCAGACAGTTCCGCTACAACCAGCTGCTCCTCTTCCTCCCATTCGTCCTCCATAGCTGTAGCTGATGAAGCAGTTGCACTCATTTAACTTTTTGAAATGTCATGCAACTCATGAGCTGAAGCGCTCCGACAACTTCAAGTAGCGAATTGCTTTCGCAGAATGTGCGCGACGGAAGTAGTGATCGGAGGTCCGATTCATTTATGGGAATCGGTTCTTTTGAACAGTTCTGTGTAACCTTTAAAACACGATTCAGTATTACTTATCTATCTATCTTTTTTAAGTTTTGTAAATAAAGTAGCCTACTATTGTAATTCCACGTGTCTTCGTGTGTTTCTTAACCGTAAGTCAGATTGGACATTAAAAACCTAAATATATTTTGTATTTACATCAGTTAGTACTATAATTTTACTTTGGCCAGAAACGTTTTTGCACATTTAAATAAATACTCCTCTGACCAAGAGGAACAGTATTTTTACTCCATTAATTTACTTATACTTTTGACCAAATTTCACATTAATAAGTGTAAATTTACTAATAAGAATCCCAATGTTATGCTTTTGTTGACTGAAATATATATTGACAGTAGACTCCAATAAGAAACCTGTAAGAACTTTGAAAGCTTGTGAACTTTTTAATATAAAGTTAGGCCTATTTATCTGATTTTGTATGCATGTGTATGTATGTGTATGTATATCTTGTGTGACAGACAGTTTTTTTTTTTTCAACTTTTATACCTCCCCCTGGCAACTCCTATTTGTTGTAATTTATTATTCTATCCTTTTCCTTTTATTTCTCTTTTCTTCTTTTTGATGTTATTTCTTGATAAAACATTGTATATCATTGTTCTTTAAAAAAATTAAAGGGATAGTTCACCCAAAAATGAAAATTCTGTCATTAATTACTCACCCTCATGTCTTTCTAAAACCGTAAGACCTCCATTCATCTTCAGAACACAAATTAATATATTTTTGATGGAATCTGAGAGCTCTCTGACCCTCCCATAGATGGCAAGGGTCCTTTCACGATCAAGGTCCAGAAATGTAGCAAGGAGATCGGTAAAATAATCCATGTGACATCAGGGGTTCAACCATAATTTTACAAAGCTACAAGAAAACGTTTTGAGCACAAAAGAAAAAAAAAAGACATTATTCTACCATTCGTCTCCTCCGTGTCACCCTAGCGCCATTTTGGAGAGTATCCACTGAACGTAAATTGCTTATGCTGTTCTGTGTCAGCTGCGCCACGCAGATATGCTGTTTACGTCGTTTACACTTTGATTGGAACGAAAACAGTGTATCCGCGTGGCGCAGCTGACACAGAACAGCGTTGTAAAATTACGGTTGAACCCCTGATGTCACATGAGGTCTTACGGTTTTGGAACAACATGAGGGTGAGTAATTAATGACAAATGTTAATTTTTGGGTGAACTATCCCTTTAAATAAATACTCTTTAAAATAAACAAACAGTCTCCGTTTCGTACATGTGTGTTGCTCGGTTATTAAAGTAACTATTCGCATATTAATTAAAACCTAGGTTCACCTGAGAAAAAAAAAAAAGCAATGGATTAGGAAAAGATCCGATTCCAAAGAATGAATCGTTCATCAATCGGGCATCGATAGCAACTTCCGGAAAACCAACGTGTGCTGAAGTCAGTCACATGTGCGCTAGTTCCCAGCAGCATGAGAGACACATGTACTCAGGCAACTTTCGTAAATTAGAGCTAAACATTTTCTGAGTGTCCTAGAGAAGATCGGAATAAGCGCAAGAGCGTGTTTTTGTTAAACAGTGAGTATCTGATGGGTTTATCTGCTGGGATTTTTTTGTGTGTCTTTATCGGTTCACTGTAAGCTAAGCTCGTAGTTTGCAGCGTGCTAGTTAATGCTGCGCAAAATACATTTTAATGTTTATTTTCTAAACATGGTATTGAGTTAATTGCAATAATATAAACATAACGGGTTTGTATTTTAGTGGCCTTATGAATATATTAGCATTAACGTTACCTATGTAAAACTGTGGAAGCAGCTCCACGCTCCGATCTGATAATCAACCAGCCAACTAACTTATGCAAGTTTGTCATGATTACAAGCTAGACCTCTATTTTACTACAAGGAACGCTTTGGATTGTATAGATGAGTATGTTTACTTGAATGTTATCATACAGTATGAAAGCCACATGGGACATGCCCTGGCAATCTGCACACTGTCTAGGTTTCTGTTTCTGGCCTTATAATTATTATGTTTTTTATTCTGGTCAAATATCAACTTATTAAATGTTTGCTTGTATTGTTACCGTAGAGCAACTTTGTAGGTGTCAATCATGGGCAGAAAGTTGGACCCCACCATCAAGGTGAAAAGAGGACCTGGACGCAAGACCAGAAAACAGAAGGGAGCAGAAACTGAGCTGACCAAGTTTTTGGTTGATGGTAAAGCACACATTCTCTGAGCGATTTGGTTATTGGACAACATTTTCTTGTTTTATGTATTCATTATTTATATACTTATTTTATAATATATATAAAATGGTTATAACAATGGTTATTCTCTATTTGCAGAGGATGGGCCAAAAAAACTTTCAAGCAGAGCGAGAAAACGGTAAGTTTCTTTTAAATGACTACATATGAATAACTACATGTAGTTATTTCTTTTGTCATATTTTTGTATCTCTGTGGTAATTACTTGTGAATTTTATTTTATTTTCTTCCCCCAAATAAATTTCAACAGAGCTGTAAAAAGAGCTCAAGTAACTAAAGAACCCAAACAAGAGGAAAAGCCTAAGAAAGGTATTTAAACATTTAAAAATGAAATTATAATGGAATTACAATGTTGATGCACCCATGAATTTGTAAATTAATTATTTTCTATTGCAGGATTCTCAGATGAGAATAGTAAATGGCTAAAACCAACTCCGAGGAAGCGAAAGATTGAACAATCTGAAGAAGATGAGGACAGTGACAGCCAATGGGAAGAAGAAGAAGATGATGATGATGAAGAGGGCTTTAATAACAAGGAAATGGAGGAAAAGGACGATGACGATGAAGATATGGTTGATGACTATGGTGCTGATGAAGGGGATGATCAAGACAGCGATGGAGAAGAGGTATGATTTCAACCAATGAAAAACATTTGTATAGAGGAAATCTTGTCCTTTCTCAAATGTCAAAAATATATATATATTTTTTTTTTCTCCTGATGTCGTACCACTTAAGCTTGGAGCACAAAATACTGTATTTCACAATGCAGTGTGCTTGACTATGCGTTTACATGTGAGATGAACTGGAAGTAATGTCAAAATACATTGTAGCATACTACCATTTGAAATATTTGTTATTATATATTGTTATACACTATAAACACTATTAAAAAACAATCAGCATAGTATTCGAAGCGTAGCCCTTTCCTTATTGTAATATTATCATTACTTGCCTTGTCAGCTTCTGCCAATTGAGAAAGCTGCAAGAAAACAGAAAAAACAAACAAGCATGAAACCAGAGAGTGATGATGATGATGACGATGAGGATGAAGAAGAGGAGGAAGATGATGATCAGGAAAAGGAAGATGAGGATGAAGAGGATACTGTACAGGCAAATATTGATGAAACTGAACAATTCAAACTCCCAGGTGCAGCAGATAGAGCAAAGGAGGGTGAGTTCAACTTTTAGTATGTCAGCAAACTAGAGGAATTCACAGCCTCAAAATTGTATGGCTCTAGAAGTGTATTCTAACCCTTCATCTCAATATATGTAGGTCTTTTACCGATGGACCTACAGACCATCCATCAGAGGATCAAAGATAATGTGGATGTGCTGTCTCACTTCACTGAGAAGAGAGAAGAGGGCAAGGAGAGATCGGAGTATCTCTCTCTGCTGCGCTCTGACCTCTGCACCTACTACAGCTACAACGAGTTCCTCGTCAGCAAACTCATGGACATTTTCCCGCTCTCTGAGGTGCGTGTTTGTATCCGCTAATGAGGAGCAACTTAGCATGACAGGTTTTGTTACCATCTGAATTGCTGAAGTGTAGATGCTTCCTGTTTTAGTACCACCCATCTGCTTCCTCACAAGGTGTGTGGCTATGCTAACAGGATAGAGGAACTGTCTGTCAAGATCTGAAGGGGTGGATGGCCACACCTCCTCCACCTCTATATGAATTGGCAGTACATCTATATCAGAAAATAACTGTCTTTGTAAAACTTTGGAAGTAGTTTTCTTATGTGTTGATTGATGGACATATACAACGTTCAATTTCAGCTGATTGATTTTCTTGAGGCCAATGAAATTCAGAGGCCGGTCACCATCAGAACCAACACCCTAAAAACCAGGAGGAGAGACTTGGCTCAGGTCTGAAAAGATTTCTTTTCCATTTAAATGTGATATTTTGTATTAGAGTCCCATTTGCACCTGCTTTGTGATTGGACGGTGCAAGATATTGGTTCCAAAACAAGATCCAATTACTCAAACCTCATCAGAGCTAGTTTTAAAAAAATGCATGTGACCACAGTGTATTTGTAGAATAAATGCTAACATATCCCGATACATCCGAACAATGTCAAAAGGTCAGCTATCTGTTAGTCATTCAAAATATTGCTGGTGATGTGTGAACATTTGGCCGGTGTTATGCAAATCTTCCCACATCGTGACGTAGACATGTGGGGGCGTGTTAGAACGAGCCGCTTTAGGTAGGTGTGGCTGACTCTTAACTTTTATAAAGAATATCTCTTTGGATTTGAGACTTTAGTCTTTGCAACTTTACAGATCTTTATGCACTAAGAGCTTGTAACACTCCAAAGAGAAAGGAAAAATTGAAATCACATCATATGACCCCTTTAAAATCTAAGCTCAGAGAGGAATCGTGATGCATTCTAGTGATGCAAAGTCCGATTCATTTCCGTGAACCGGTTCTTTTCGGACAGATCGGCTCATTGAACCGGTTCAAAAAGCCGATTCATCGGTTCCTGACGTCATCAAGCAATAACGTCTCTACGCATTTCTTTTCTAACAACTCAGTGCAATGTAAACAATCGGTCCGAGATCGCCTGAACGAGGTGGTCTCGGCTCGATTGAAAACAAACTCTGGAGCGGTTCGGTTGTAGTGAGAAAGCAATCCGATCTAACGGACCAACGAACCAGGCTATATCACAATGTATAATGGGAAATTACATAAGTTCTGTGAAAAGCATTAGCTCTGTTGTTTTGCTAATACTTCAAAATGAACCTGTGAATGTCTGTGGGTGAACACGTCTTCTTCGCCATTCAAAATCAAATTGCACTTTTTTCATTTTATAATGCTGTCTTATTGCTCTTCTTCCTAGTAGGTGCATTTTAAAAATGTTTCCCGATGAATCCTGGACTCCTGCTCAAAATGATAAATTAATATAAGGACAGCTACAAAAAAAAAATAACAGTTGGTTGAACCGGCTCAATCAGTTCTTTTTGAGTTGGATGTGCTACTTCGGCTGTGCGTCCTGCGTCATCAACCTGGAACTAAAGTTCGATTCAGTTCGATTTGTGAACCGACTCGACCGGTTACTTCCTGAGAACCGGCTCAGAAGAACGATTCGTTCAAGAACCTAACATCACTAATAGGGCCTTTCGCACCGCTTTAGTTCCAGAACTAAATGTACAGTACTAAAGTACTGGGACGATTTTGCGCGAACTAAAATGTAGGAGTCTCTCTAGCGCTCTGTTCTTCCGACAGATCGGGAGAGAGGGGGCGGTGTTTTGCATGATGTCGACCTGCGAAGCTTGTATTAACAAATTTGGTCCGTTTAGAAACTGTGCTGTGTGAAAGCGAACCGCACCAAGAATAAAAAGCAACATTGTAATAATTTTAATCCCTGTTTCGGAACAAAGCAATCGATCTACAAGTGTGAAAGCACCCTAAGAATCGATCCACGAATCAATTCTGCATCGATTTATCGTCCCAGCCCTGAACTTTAACAGTCATCAAAAAATACTGTATACAAAAAAAACTGTCACAAAATCTGATAGAAGTTGTCACAAAAGACCCATCCAAGGCCTATTTTGAGTTTTTGATACCCTATTTTAATACCAGGTGTCTCGTCTGACCACTTGTCATTGGAACATCCCAAAACTACAATTAAAAAAGACAGATGTCAGTCTGGTTCACAGACGTCTTGTAATCTAATGGCATGTTCTTTAACACAGGCTCTGATTAACAGAGGAGTGAACCTGGATCCACTGGGGAAATGGTCCAAAGTGGGCCTGGTTATCTATGACTCTTCTGTTCCCATAGGTTAGTTCCAGTGACATAACAAAACAAAATTTTTTTTTTTCATTCTTCATCTTTGACGACTGAAAGAATTCATGTTATTTCTCTCTTTTAAACAGGAGCAACTCCTGAATATCTGGCAGGCCAGTACATGTTGCAAGGTGCATCATCGTTTCTGCCTGTAATGGCGCTTTCGCCCCAGGAGGGGGAGTCAGTGCTAGACATGAGCGCCGCTCCAGGAGGCAAGACCACATATTTGGGTGAGCATATGCTCCTCTGTGACAGTCACACCAACTGCTGTGTTATTGTACAGTGGCTAATCTCTGTTGTGCCTATTGTTTATTGGCTCAGTCGACACCAAAGAATTAAAGTCAGACATTTCAACAATGTTATATTAAAATGTTTTGAGAGTGTGTGAAGCCAAAATGTGTATCATTTGTGTGATGCAGCTCAGCTCATGAGGAACACGGGCATGATTGTGGCTAATGACGCAAATGCAGACAGACTGAAGAGCGTGGTGGGAAACATCCATCGTCTCGGTGTCACTAACGCTGTCATCTGCAACTATGACGGCAGACAGTTCCCCAAGGTCTGCGCTATCCTTTTTTCCTGTTCTGTCCTGGTTTTTTTCTTTTTGGCTTTCCGTTAACCATGTTGGCAAAAACAAGCAATATTATGTCTAAAATGTAAGATCTCATTGCTAACTTTACTGAACTTTTATGAAATGATTATTAAATTTGTTATCATGCTGATATCTGCAGAAAAACGGTACTCTTTGTGTGAT